GGTTTGTCTTATCCGGGTTCAACTGCAATAAAACAAACTTTGGGGTGAAAACAACTAAATTATATCAAAGGTCAGTCACAGCAGCAGAAATGCATATGTTTTGGAACCCTTACTTCTATGTTGGTCATGGAATCCTACAACACTCTTTCATTCTAAGAAGAGGATCAGGTGTTCTCACTCTTATCTAGAATGTATTTTAAAAATCACTTGCAGAAAAGAATTACTCAAAAACAAGATAAAGGAGTAAATATGGTAACTAAATTCTCATTTGCGGTTTTCTGCGAGGAACCGCGCATTACTCGAACCCATTATGCAATCCGCATGAGCATGAAAAGTGCGCAGAAGCGGTCAGCATACAAGTACCTCAGTGCCTCGTTTATGTATACAACATCTGTTTAACTTTTTAGCTCAGATACCAGGTGAACCTCTCTCAGGCAACTTTCAAGGGACCAGCAAAAAAATTCGACTCACGGAGGTCTTGGCTTTGGGAGGTTTAGTCACATCCATTCAAAACACTTGAAATTTATGTTTTTTACTTTTTCCTGTATCAAGAAAAAAATAGCCAAAAAGCCTCAGAAAATTTGAATCATGGAGGTTTTAGAGGAAAAGACTTCCAGTTAGGTAGGTATTCAATGCATTATGTCTAAAGGAATTCAAACAGGGACTTCAAAAATTGGACTCAAGGAGGTTTGTCTTATCCGGGTTCAACTGCAATAAAACAAACTTTGGGGTGAAAACAACTAAATTATATCAAAGGTCAGTCACAGCAGCAGAAATGCATATGTTTTGGAACCCCTACTTCTATGTTGGTCATGGAATCCTACAATTGAGAAAGTAAGATTCTTCTCCTAGTCCACAAGAGTGAGAATAGATCTTACATAAAATTTTTAGTGAACGTCTTTTCTTAATGAGTTTTTGTTCTATTTCCTCATTTATACCATTGATTTAAGAGTAGCTTCAAGTGAAGTGATGAACAATTGTACCCTTGTTTTGTACAATCAGCACATTATGATCAGTATTATTCAGCAGCATGAGGCTATATTTCATAGAAAAGTACGGTATTGTGTATACAGTACATGTAGACATTTCAAAGACAGACATGGACATAAATTCGTCACCGCCTGGTGAATTCAATTAAAAATGACAATATATTCCTAAAATACTGTCCCCACTCCCCTGTCAACAATAACTTTTCATCACGCGTTTACGCAGCACCAGTTCCCCGGGTGACAAAAACCGCTCCACGGTTGCCGAGTTCAAAGGGGCATGATTCATGGAACGAGAGCAAGTCATGACTGGTAACCCAAGCGGACAGACACAACTACAATGCATATTTTACTCTCTGATCAAAGGGGAAATACTGTGGTTGAAAAAGGAAATCTCCGGGAGAAAACGCTGACGTAAATGGCTACCCCAGTGATCGCACGAGTCGGCGCCCAATGCTGTGCATACAACGACGGCCAGCGGCACGCAGGACCAGGGCAAAATGACCAACGGAGCTGCTCAAGCGGTCGCTCCACAAACGTTTTCACGGCCACGAGGAAGGGAAAACTCGAGAAAGTTAACACGACCGGGCAAGGAGAGGAAAAAATAAATAAAATCAACGAGTACAGTATATATTCCAAGTAAAGGGAGTTTGGAGAAAATTAGAATTTCATCAGTGGGATGGAAGCAAAAATCGACAGAAAAAAAGTTGGCATTCAGCAATGATTTCCTCCTAATAATATTAAGACGATGATAGGCGCGTTTTTTTTTGGAACGTTGTTAGGCTTGTACTGAGACTTCTCTTTTTAATACGTGTCACCTTTTAACCGTCTAGTCAACTTTCCGTGTGTACTTTTACGGTAAGAGAGGTTAGGATTTTCTGCATGTGCGCGTGCTCGTCATGCAAATACGGTACAGGTAACGCCCTGTAATGGAACATTATTCGCAGAATTTAATGAAACTTTCCTGTACTTTTCATGCAGTTCGAGCAGTTCAGAGATTCAGCTTTCTATAAATATTTGCGACTCGCTTGTAGTGCAATACATGTAAACCGAAGAAAATGGAGTATTTTCATCAATGGAAGCAAAAAAACAGAACAGTTGAACGTTCAGCGATGATTTCATCTGTTGATATTCATCATACGCGCAACAACAAAAAAACTTACGACAATTAAAACATCACTCCGAAGAACAGAAAAATCATGCGTAGATGACAATTGGCAAATCAGTTGAAGGGCACGCATGAAAATGACCTTTACTCCTTAGTACTGTACTTTTTACATGTGCGACTGCTCGTCACGCAAATACTGTACAGCTAAAGCCTTGTAATGGAACATTATCCAACGAATTTTATGAAACTTCCCTGTGGCTTTTTTTTTTAATACAATAGTAAATTCACAGATTCCGCTTCCCAGAAATCTTTCCGATTCGCTTTTTGTTTAATACAAGTACCACACAACTACAGTATGCTTATTATGATATATTGCTAAAATTTACTGATGACTTATTTTTCTAGAAGTTCATGTACTGTACATCAACCACCGATTTTCCTTGCATCACAATTACGCATTATAGTCCTTTGTTCGAATTATTTGAAAATCAGACTGAGAGACGGAAGGATAAAATGGAGCTGAGCAAGAAAATGTTTTTTTACGAGGGCTGAAAAAAATATGTCGAGCAGGTGGGTTCAAATTGAAGTGCCCTTCTGAGCAGAGATACTGAATTTAAGGAAAAAATTTCTGGTGGAAAAATGTGAAGGCTTCAAGGAGAAAGCGCTTTCTTATGGCAGACTGAATGTGTACTGTATATAGAAATTGCAAGGCAATACAAAGCCTGAAGGATTTGGTTCAAGTGATTTCTTGGCGCCGCATGATGACAGAAATATAAAAAACATAGCTGGAACGGCGAGCGATCGACCATACATTAACCAGAATCCGCATTTCGAAAAAGTTTGTTTGATGTGACGAAAATACGACATGCTCTATCCAGGATCGACGGAATGAGTTTCTCCACGTTTTTGTGGTGACTGTCGTGGCTATACGAAGCAACTGAAACGGCAAACCTTTCACTTCTCTGTCCGACATAACTGTACGTAACGGACATGACCAGCGAGAAAGAAAAAAAAAACACGAACGAATCCAGAAACCCGAGCATCAGCGAAAGTAAGCGGACAGCCGAACGCCGTGACAGGGTAAATGACAGTGGGAAAATGTTTTTGGACCAAACTTTACCCGCTGAAAAGAATAATTGCTCCACGCGAACTTGGTTCAACACGAGAAACATCCGTCAAAAAAGTTGATTTGAGTCTCAAATTAAACTCCATGCACCTTATCGAGAACACGGCATGTAAGTACAGTAATGAAAAAACGCATTCGTCATGCTGGAATAAAACTCGGGTCGGGAATACAGGTGGACTCTATACAACGCTTATCCCTGTATAACGTTATTTAGTCCAAGACTCTTACCCTAGGCTATTCGGGTTCTTTATCAATTAATTTTCTCTACAACAGCATTTTCCTCTGGTCCTTTGAATTTCGTTCCAGAGAGTCTACCTGTATTATCCCATATTATCTTAGCGTATCAGAATGTCTTGATACATTAGAATGTGTCGGGGTAGAGAATATTCAAGATCCACGTTATTCCTACGGACTGCGAAAATTCGAGATTAAACATCCTCAGGTTTTATAGTTGTACACATTTGACACGCATCAACCACCAATAAAGACTCAAGAAGAAATACATTAATTCAATTGATAATTTCTTTTCACGAAAATCATGAGAAAATGCTTTTTTCCATTTACATTCAACTAGATACGATTTTTACCCATCAACTCAGGCGATGATGAAAAATAATTCCGGGAACATAGCGTCACATTTTTTTTAAATCCTACATATGTAATGATGAAAACCACTAGGAGAAACCCCCAGACTAAGTGGTAATAAAACAGGTGGAATCCAGCTCGAGGGATCTTTCTATACAGCTGCCCGAACCGAAAGCAAGATCCGAGCGTGTGCTTGCGACACCGGATGTCCTCGGAACAGTTACGTCGGAGGGGCTGGAAGCCAGGAAGTAGAGTGCCAAGAGAGGGCAAATGAGTGAGAGAAAGCGTTACAAGGCGAGATTCCTATTTACCGGCATACGCGCCAGTAACTGGACATCTCGGGTCACTTCCATCTTCTGCTTCTATCTGCGTTGGCTTGATATACCCTTGAGATAACCCCCGTCTTCCATGATGGGTAGCCACGACAAGCGTTCAACACGCTATACGCGAGTACCAAGAGTTCGTCCGATAAGTTATTGCATAGCAAGTAATCCAGAAGACATATTTTCTCTTTCTCAAGAGCCTTTGAATTACTCTGCTTTGGGAGAAAACCAAACAGACAGCAACCAGTTCTGGACTTGATTAAAAATGCAGGAATTTTAAGTTTTAGTGGTTTTATCTTGAGATATATTTACGAGAGGAAAAAACTGCCCTTCATGGCGGATGATACTCCTGTCACCAAAAGTGTGTGAAGTACATTATAATGAACATTCGAACTGGGTGAGTAGTGGATAAAATAAATTTTCAGACAATTTCTCAAAAATCTCCCTATAATACAGTAACTGGAAATTTCGCATGGTGATGTGAGCAAATAAATACGAACCTCGACATCGGAAGAATAGTAACAAAGATTGTCCTCGTAATTTCGTCAATTCATTCGTATACTTTCGGTTCAAAAATATGCCGACCATGGAAATGAAAAGGTTGCGAAAAACCTTCTCACATAGAAAGCCCATCCTAAGTTCCATAACGCTTTGACAGAAACTAAATGCATTCGAATCGAAATTTCTAAACAAAACCAAATTCAGAATCGAATGGAATTTGTTAGCATGTCAAAAAAAATGATGCTCCGAACTCTTGCGAGAAAATAAGAGACGTGACGTAAATGGTCTCGTTGTTCATGGCTCCCGACTCACTCAGAAGTGTCCGAGGACAACACATGCACTAGCGATAACGCGACTCAAGGTGAGTTGGGTCAACGGAGCCGAGAGTTGAACACGGAAGAGCAGCCAAAGAACGCCGCTGACGCAGAATATAATGGAGACAATCACGCAGAATTGGCCCAGACGGGGGCAAATTATAATAACGAGCCTGAGGTAGCTTGCGACCCAATAGAGGTGAAAATATACGGGTTGGTGAATATCTGGGACGTAAGCAGGAACTTATTCAGAAAGAAGGAAAGCCAACTTCAAAAACTTGACGCGGTGAACTGAACGTAAGAATGAATCAACTGCCGAGATACAGTACATTTCCCAGCTTTCCTTCTAGAGTTGCGCGAGGTCAACTTGGTATTGCTTGATATGAATTCCGAGAAACTGCAGAAAAGTACCTCAAATATTTTTTTAAGTTCTAAAGATGCAATGAGAAAAATTAAGGACGAGAATTACGCAGGAAAGATGCATCCATATTGACCAATTGTTTTTACTGAATATAATTTTTGGAACTTCTGAAACACATTTAGTGCGCCAACTGAGAGATATTTTTTTGGAGCACGTGGATATAAACAAACATTCGTCAGCAAGAATTATATTCAACTGATTTACCGTATTGAAAAATTACGAGACGGATAAACCAAGGATAACTCGTCGGGTAATTTTAACCATTCTAAGGTAATTAATTGGTCAGAAAATATTGCAGTTCATTTGAGCTAAGATTCAAGTTGATTCAGAATTAGGGAATATCGATGGTGACCCCTCGATGTGGTGGACAACTGAGAATATTCTGAAATTTGAAACTCACCATCATTTTTCAGGAGAGCCAAAAGATGCGGGTAAATGGTGCCGATGGCTTTTGAGCCAGCTGTGGAGTACGGCGACGGAGACGAGGACGCGTCCGAATCGACATCCTCAAATCCGCTCTTGTCCGGGTTCGCCTTCTGAGCTTCCCTGAGCTTGAGTTGTTGCTCTTCAATACGATTCCGAATCAAGAAAATCTTCGGCATCTTCGCGAAGTTACCACTTCACCAATGCGAAAAAACATGCGCATCCAACAAAATGTATCCCCTTCCTTGTCCAGCGCGAATCACTACTGGGGTCGGTCCCAAACAGTTCGGTGAAAGCACAGCAAGCGCTAAACTTTTTTACGGACTGGTCTCTTCGCGGACTTCATGTTACAAGTTTCAATCCTGCATCAAACAAAAGGTAGGCTACAATATACACATAGCAGTAAATCCGAAGGAAACTCACGAATAATCAAAAGCGAGTCGAGCATCGAAGATAGAAAGGAAGAAACACGCGTACCAAAAATGACAAAGAGACAAGCACACATTCAAAGTCGCCTGAACAAATAAATTTTTCGTGGGTTACGGTACAGTAAAATTAGCCTTCAAGTTCAAGACACCTCTTTTTCTGATATTTTACACTCAAACACAAATTAATTTGAAATGCCTCAAAAAGCTTTATACAAGAAAATGAACATGTCGGCTAATGCATGGTATATTAGTATATGATGAACTATTTCCACCATGCAGTCTTTCTGCTGGGTACATTTTGCAGTTGCACCACATGCTCTCAATTTGCTTCGATGCAAAGCCTTGTTCTACTTTTTCTTTGCATAAGTAGCCTTTTCAGTTCACACTTGAGTTAGGAGTCCTATTGAAAGCAATTTATCAACTATCGGCAGCGCAATCCGCATGAGCAATTGTCTTTCTCATTACAATCCCTGAATTATGGTATAGCTAAGACAACCCTCAACGTCTGAATTCTAATCCCTCTCAAACAATAAGCACATGCATTAGGAGATCCTTTTGGTATTTTTTCTCATGAACGCGTGCCACCTTTTCCTACAAAAAGATTTATCGGAAAATCACTCTGACTGAAAAGGCAATTGCACTCGTCTACCAGCAGGCAGATTGCAGCAAAAAGGAACTGAGAAATGTATGGTGTCATTTTTCGACTTGGACCATTTCTTCATGGAGACGCAGATTTCGCTCCAGAGGAGATAGCGGATAAAAGAAGGACGAATGTGGGGGAATTAAAAGGCACTGTGGAGACTCGCGACGAGACGCTTCAATTTCTCACAGCGCGGTCGCAGTCAACACACCACAACGGTGACGCACACTCACTTTTCCTTCGCGCTAGAAAACCGGCTCAAAGAAAGCACGTCCCGGAGACCCCATTCGAGGCCACAAAGCGGCTACAGCAGCAGCAGCACGGGCAGGAAAGCGCAACTCAGTAAGGAAAATTAAAAAATGGGGCCACAAGAAAGACGCCGTAAAGCAAGCGCACTCGCCGGCGCAGACGATCGAAATGAGCGCACGGCGTCCCTGCGGAAGGCCCCCGTGCTGGAGTGCCCGCACGGTGAAAGTGAGTCGGAGAGGGACTGCGAGGCGCGCTGCGGCTCGGGCGGCCGCACGGCGCGGCGGAGCTTCATTGCCAAGATCAGAATTGCCCCCGGGGACCATACTCGCCTGCG